AGTCTCAACTATAGTGAGACCCTGTCTCAAAAAACAAACAAACAAACAAACAAACAAAAAACAGAAGCTCAGAGAGGGCAAATTCCCTTGCCCAATTCATGTAGCCATTTAGCTTCTGAGTTGCGATCTGAAGCGGCTGGGGGTTTGCGGGGTTCCCAAGCTATGCAGGAGACTGAAGTTGAGGGCTCTGGTTGGCTCCCATCAGCCTCCTGTCCTCCCCGCCCCCACCCTCTCATGACACTTGACATCCTCCATCACTCCGCCCCCCTCCTCCAGTTTCCATGGCAGCATATTCTCCCCGTCCTCCTCCTGCTTCCCCAGTGGCTTCTCACTCTGCACAGGCTCCTGTACCTAGGAAGCAAGGGAGGGACCCCCAGGCTGGGTCCCCAGGCTCCTCTTTCCTGCTGCTCCTGAAAGCCCACCCACTTTCCCTGTGGGTCTCTAGCTCTTAGTAACAGTTACTCACTGTGTGCTAACAGCACCCTTAGGTAACTGGCCCTAAAGCTACACACACATTACCTCATGTAACCTGCACCACTGCCCGTGAAGGAAGTTCATGCTACAGAAGAGGACACAGAGGCTCAGGCAGGGTAAGTCAAGATTTGATGCTGGCCTCACCTGCTACTTCCAGGACAGGAAACTGTAGGACATTTTTAAAGCAGGGGCAAAAACTTCCCTCCCACTCCTAAAGAAAGAGAAATGGAAATTTTGGAGAAAAGAGCCCTACTCCACAATTTTCAGAACCTGGTGATGATCTAGAATTACACTGTCAACTTGGAGCATTAAAAATGCATCATGCACAGCACATTTTGAAATGAGAAGATTTGGAGAGCTTGGAGAGGAACAAAAGTTCATGAAAATTTGCCCTTTTCCTTCAGATTGCTCCATTTTGCCTTAAGTCTTCCAAAACCTCACCCTAGAGTTCCAGCTACTAAAGTCTTCCCACTTGAATGATGCCTGGGATTTACTGCAAACTCAGACCTTGGAATTTTCCCTGGAATTCCACTGACCCAGGTTCTGCCACTACTCACAGGCTCTGTGAGCCCAGGGGCTCAACTTCTCTGAGCCTCCTCAGCTTTCTTGTATAGAGTGGGGGTACCATTACGTCCCCACTTGGCTGCCCTGAGGATCCACTAGGGTAACACACACAGCACCCCTGGCACCGTGCCTGGCACAAAAAAGTGCTCAGTTAAGTCCTGTGATTCTGTTGCACAGAATTTCTTGGATATGCCAGGCACTTGAACATCTCATGCTTTCACATACACTGTTCCTTCACCTTGGTGGCAAACTTGTATTCATCCTTTAAGGCCCCCTGACCTGTTTCCACCTCTCGTGGAATTGCTACACATGTGTTTTCAATAAAAAGATACAAAAGGCACTTCCTATGACATACTCCCTAGGCTCTTTGTCCCTGAGCTCATCACACTGGGATGCAATCATCCATCTATCCCCTGGCTTGAGCCTTCTGAGGGCAAAGCCATATGGGCCAGGCTGGCAAGAAGTAGATTTCAATACAAAATTGCATTACCTTAAATGTACTCGGTCTGGATCCGGCCCCTGATGACTCCAGGACAAACTCATATATCTTCTATCAGGGGCAAAAAGCAACCAGATCTGTTAGACTAACAGGAGGTGGCAGTTAGTGGACTTCAAGTGGCTTGGAGACAGGCCTGTGGCATGCGTGTGTGTCGTCTGTCATGTGTGTGTGATGACATAGTCCTTGCAAGAAGAATAAAGAGCCTTACCCCCACTTACTTCAAGAGTCTTCTCAGGCCAGGGATTTAGCTCTGTGGTGCTAAACCTGCCTTGCAAGCACAACAACCCAAATTCAATCCCCAGTACAAAAAAAAAAAAAAAAAACTAAAGATTTAGCTCAGCGGCATCGTACCTGCCTGGCAAGCACAAGGTCCTGAGTTTGATCCCCAGTTTGGGGAAAAAAGTCTTCTCCAGCTCCTAAATCGTTCCCTTGCTCTGGCATCTCCCCAGAGCATCAGCAGGAAGAGTCCCAAATGTCAAGGCATGTCCAGGATGTCCCCGGCCTTGCTGACTACACCTCCAAACAGAAGTCTCTATGGTCGCAGGGCCCATCTGGGTGGTGACCGTTGAGCTACGAGTGGCCCGAGATTCCAGGTCATGGTAGCGTGGGGGCTGGGTCTGAGTGGCAGTCACTGCCCCTCATCCCAGGTCTCAGGGGAGCCACTTCCTAGAAGAAAATCCTCAGGTCCAGGGTTTCAGGGGACCTCGCCCTGAGATGAGGGCTGTGCTTTACTCACTGAAGGGACCCTTACTCCTTAAATGTGCACAAAGCCCACCTTGGTGCCCCCACCCCCAACTAGTTCAGTTCTTGCTGGAGTGACAGCCTCTCAGCTTTTGTTCCCAAAAAATGGCTGTCAAAGGGAAAAGAGGTATATTGTTTCTTTTCTTTTTTGGTTTGAGACAAAGGCGTCATTTTCTTCCCATCTGTCCCAAAAAAGGAAGAAAATTAAATTTGTTTTTACAAGGATGTCAGCGCTTGCTTCAATAGGGAGTCAGGGGTGCCTCGCTGATGCAGGGTGGGGGAAGGGTGGGCAGCGGAAGTGTGGGAGGCCCAGGGGACAAGGACAGACTCTGACACTGAGGGAAGCAAAGGTCTGGGGTGCCTGACAGGCACTTCTATGCCTGGCTTTGGGTGAACCCTGGAACTCAGCAGCCTGAAGAAGAAGCTGGGTGGGCTGGAGACGGTGGGGGAGCGGAGGGCAATTGGAGAGCAGAGCACACGCTGTCTTCTTCCCTTGGTTCCCTCAAAATCAGGCCCCAAGTGGGCATTTCCAGTTTGTCAGAGGCACTGACACCAGATGCATGGGTCACAGACAGATGCTGGGAGAAGAGGAGAGAATTCTGAAGTTCTTATCAAGGGTCTGGAAATCTGCAGGGGGTGTCTTGGTGCACCCCCACACACACTTCACTCGCATGCTCTAAATGGGCGATCCTCTGTCTGCGCTCTGGTACTCAGCCACAGACACCAGGGCCCTGGGGACTCCCTACAAGAGTCCCTACTCAGGCCTGAGGACCTAACCTCAAAGCAGAAGCCTGGCTCCACGCCTTAGCCCACTACCACCACCTCCACCACCATCACCCCACCCCCGGCACAAAGGCCCAGCTCCAGGTTTGAAGCCCCGGGACCTTCTTATTCCTTTCTAAGCCTCAAATACTTGGTTCTGAGGACCCTATTTCAACTGAGGGCCGCTGGCCCTGCTCCACTGTCCTGTCCCAAGATCTACTGGATACTGCTGTGGACTCTGCTTCCAGTCTTAGGCATCGCTGCCCGTTCAAAAGAAATAAGGGACCGTTCAAGTGAAAAGTTATGCTGTTGGGGCTGGGGATTTAGCTCAGTGGTTCCGCCGCCTACTACGAAAGTGTAAAAGTGTAAGGTCCCGAGTTCAATCCCCAGTACCAAAAAGAAAATGAAAGAAGAAAAGTTATGTTGTTTATCCCTTTTCTTCTCTGTTTCTTTTGTATTCTCTATTTATAAAGATGTCAAATTGGACCTAGACCTCGGTGAGTCCCCACCTGCTGCTAGAACTCGAGGCTGGGACTCTGCCAAACACGAGGCCCCACCTCCTGCACACAGGCTCTCTGAGTTACAGCAAGCCTGCTTTGTCCTGCCTCTCTGCCTCTCCGGGAAGGGGATCCTCTCCACCACATTCAGCCTTGCAACTCAACTTTCAAGCCACCATCCACCATTGCTCTTTCTCGGTCCTAGGGGCAGAATCGTCAGGTTCTAGAGCAGATCTTGATGCCTCAAATCCCCCGGGGGCTTAGAACTCAAGGCTGCCCCAAGGTTGAGACTCTGCCCACTGCACAGGTCTGTTAGCAGGCCCGGTTCCAGTGCTGCAGGTCCCACACTCCTGCAATCACTAGCTGCCTCCGCCCAGCCTGAGACCTGGATCAGGTACCTGTCCCTCACTGGCTCCAGAGGCCACCCCACTGCACAGGCCCCATCTCGCGGCCACTTACCCAGTCCCAAGTCCCCAGGCACCAATCCAGCGGCCCAAGCCTCCACACCCTCTACTGCCCAGTCCCGGATCGTGGTTCCACCTCCCTGGGCCTCCATGGTTACCTCGGAGGGGTGCAGGGGAGAGGTGTGTTCAGGCCGCAGCGCCACCCCCCGGGCAGTCGGAGGGAGTGCAGGCAGTGACCCGCTCGCGGGCCGTGGCCTCGCGTGCGCGGCTGAAGCTGCCCGGCTCCCGGCGGCCGCAGGGCGAGCGGCAGAGCTGGCGGAAGCAGCGCTTGAAGTTCTCGTCCAGGAAGGCGTAGAGCACGGGGTTAAGGCTGCTGTTGGCATAGCCCAGGGCGATGCACAGGTGCAGCGCGGCCACAACGAGCGGGTCACGCCGGTCGATGTCCACCAGTGTCCAGACGATGACGAAGATGTGGATGGGCGCCCAGCACACCACAAAGGCGCCCACCACCACCAGGACCATGCGCGTGATGCGCCGCAGGCTTCGGTCCTTCTCCTTGGAGCCCGACAGGAGGCGCACACTGCGCAGGCGCAGCAGCATGAGGCCGTAGCACACGGTGATGATGAGGATGGGCACCACGAAGGCGAAGAGGAACACGCAGATCTTGGTCACTGTGTCCCAGTACCAGCTGGGGCTGGGGAACTGGAGCATGCACACCACTGCCCCGTCTGGGTCAGGGAGACAAGGAAAGAGGGGGTGAGAGGCCTGTACACTTGAGGCCCTGCCTGCTCGCCTCCCTGTCTTGGTGGGGTCAAGAGCCCACCATAGGGCCCGGAGATTTAGCTCAGTGGTTCCACCGCCTGGCTCGCAAGCACAAGGTCCTGAGTTCGATCTCCAGTACAAAAAAAAAGGAAGAAGAAGAAACAACCCAAGAAAGATTGGCCCTCATCTGAGAGGTCCCCTTTCTGTGTTCTCTCCTAGGCCCTTTATACGCTTCTACTACTATGCGTGGTAGTAATAAGTAAAAAATAATTTATCCCAACACGCTAAATGGAAGCACAAGCAGCCAGCATTTGGGTCATAACTCAAGACAGTCAGGTCGTAACTCGAGGGTCCACTATACATAGTGAGACCATGTCTCAAACAAAAAAAATGTGTGACTCAGGGTGGACTTGGTGGCACACACATCCTCTGGGAACTTGAGGCAGGAGGATCACAAATTTGAGCTCAGCTTGGGCAACTTAGTGACTTAGCAAGAACATGTTTTGTTTTTCCATATCAGGGACCAAACTCAGGACCTTGTACTTTCACGGAAGGCACAGTGCCACTGAGCTAAATCCTTGGCCTTAGCAAGAACCTGCTTTAAAATTTTTAAAAGGGCTGGGAATGTGCTAAGGTCCTGGATTCAATCCTGAGTAACAGGAAGGAGAAACAAACAAACATGATTCAACAGCAGATTCTGACCCTGTCTGCTGTGTACAGTGTGACACTGGCCAAACCACACCTTTTTCAATTCAAGCTTTAAAAAGGTGGAAGTAATAAGATATCCATCTCCCTTAGGACTAGGTGAGGATTAAATAGGCCTAGACACAGTAAGGCATTCAGCACAGCAAGGTTTAAAGGCACAGTGCACACACAGGAAGAGGAACAGAAACCTAGGGAAACCCAGCCAGGATTAAACTAGCCTCCCTGGAGGGAGGTGGGTATCAGCTAATGTCAAGAACTTTTTTAGCTGGGGGAGGTGGTGCATGCTGTAATCCCAACTAATTGGGAGGCTGACACAGAAGGATCCAAGTGCAAGTCTGACCTAGGCAACTTACCAAGACCCTGTCTCAAAATAATAAAAAGGACTGGAGATGTAGCTCAGTGGTAAAGCATCACAGGATTCAGTCCCCAGTACTGGGGGAGAAAACAAAGAATTTTCTGATGGACTTGAAGGGCATCCAGGAGAGAATGAGCTCCCTGTTCCTGGAATAAGGGGGCTGAACCAGCACCTTCCGGGATGTTGTGGGCTTCTGATGCAGGGCTGGGGCTGGCCCAGGGGAGTCCTGAGGTCTCCTGGAGCCACACAGTGGGCTTGGTGCCTAGAGTTATGAGAAGCAGCTGGGAATCCACAGACAAGATGGATTCCAGGACATCAGGCTGGCAGGACCCCAGGGATAGATGAGTCCAAAACCTTTGTTGTACAGATGGCAGAATCAGGCCCAGAGAGGAACAGCACTTGTTTAAGGTCACACAGGAAGCAGCATTCAGAACAACCAATATGTGCTGACAGCACGTGCTGGGGCAGTGTGTGTGTGTGTGTGTGTGTGTGTGTGTGTGTGTGAGAGAGAGAGAGAGAGGGAGAGAGAGAGAGAGAGAGAGAGAGTGTGAGAGTGGGTGGGGAGGGGGAGAAGGGAGGAACCCATCTGGTCTAGCCTCAGCAGGCTACAGTTACTGGCAGGGAAACTGAAGGCTGACAGTGAGGAATGGGCCCTGCTGCTGAGTCAAAACCAACTGTTCAGAGGCTGTACAAGGGACTCTACCCTTGTGAGGGTCAAACGTGATCAAGAAGCCTCCAGGGGCTAGGGATTTAGCTCAGTGGTTCTGCTGCTGCTTGCCTTGCAAGCACAAGGACCCGAGTTCGACCCCCAGTACCAAAAAGCAGAATCCTCCCATCAGGCCTGTCCCCTTCTCCTACCCACATCAGGCCACTGCAAACCTCTCCCCCAAAGGGCCAAAAAGAACAACAGATCTGAGGGCAGGAACCTCGAGTCATAAGGCAGGTTCTACCCAATGCCCACCTGTGTGATCTTGGTAAACTACATGGCCTCTCTGATTCTCAGTTTTCACACAACCAAACAGAGGTAGAAGTCCTTGCCTGTGTCTCCTACAGGCTTAATCATTTAGCAACTGCATTTACTGGGCCTTGGCAGTGAGCCAGGCCCTTTCCTAAGTGTTTTATAGAAGTTAATCAGCGCCTAATGTCTTTGGTGCTCTTCTAGACTACCTTGCCCACTTCTTTACTTCAAGGTGGGGCCATGTGACCAGTTATCACTTGGAAGGGATGGACCATAATATTTATGAGGAGGCTGGAGCTTTAGCTCAGCAGTGCAACCTCTTGCTTAGCATGAGCAACGCCCTGGGTTTGACCCCAGCACTGCAAAAAAAAAAAGAAGAAGAAGAAGAAGCAGTTGTGCAACCTCACACTTCCTCTCTAGGTTCATGCAGCCAGATACCAGCAGTGGAAGGTTCAGGGTCCCTTAGTCAGAACCTGGGTCCCTAAATGACTGCGCTGCTCTCACAATGGTTAGCGATATGCGTGACAAATAAACTTCCACCACATTAAGCTTCTGAGCTTTTTGGAGATTGTTACAGCTGCTAGAATAACAAATACAGATAGTCACTAAAATGACAATAGCTTTATTCCAAGGAAAAGTACCTTCTCTAGGCTTTGCTTCGGTTTTCAAAGCTGGGTAAAAGGAAGTTTGAGGTGGGACGGGAGACCCTTTGGCCTCCACAGGTCAGTGACCTCTTACCCCGACACCCCCACCCATCTCCCTGCAGGTCAGTCCTGGCCAGCCCCCCGCAGGGACCCAGGCCAGCGATTCACAGTCCCATCCTGTTTATTCCCTTTGACCAGTGACCCATCTGCCCACTGCCCACTCACTCTTTCACCTTCACATAGCCTCCCTGTCACATTCCCCACTCGCCAACCACTCCCACCCTGCTGGCTGACCTCCCACACTCCCAGGGGCGCTGCCTGCAGCTCACACCTGCAACAGGGAGCAGCTGCCTCCACTCACCCTGGGAAGTGCCCTGCAAACCTAGAGAGGCCCACATGCTGCCCCCTGCGGTCTGAGACCTGCGTACCACTCCCTCCCTCACTCACCCCGGGGGCGGGTCACAGCCATAACCATGATGGGGACACCAACACCTGAGGCCAGGACCCAGATGCAGATGTTAATCAGCTTGGCCTTGGCAGGTGTGCGGAAGTCCAGGGCCTTGACGGGGTGGCACACGGCGATGTAGCGGTCGACACTCATCATGGTGAGCGTGAAGATGCTGGTGAACATGTTGTAGTAGTCGATGGACAGCACAGCCTTGCAGAGCAGCTCCCCGAAGGGCCATGTCTGCAGCAGGTACTTGGCACTCTGGAAGGGCAGTGTGCTGGTGGCCAGCGCATCGGCCAAGGCCAGGTTGAAGATGTAGATGTTGGTCGCTGTCTTCATCTTAGTGTACCTTAGAAGGAAGTGCATGGGTAATTGTCCAGTTTCACAGATTTCAGTTTCCATGAAACACAGGGGGTGCCCAAAGCTACATGTAAGGTCGAGGGCAGGTCCTGAACCATCTAATTCAACCTCACTCCTCTACAACAGAGGTAGAAGGATTTCTCTGGTGGTGGGTGACTTTGGAAGAAGGTATTCTAGGAAAAACCGTATCGACTGAAAGTTACCAAGCAATTGGCTTTGAGAACAAACTGACTCCAGAGAAAACGAACTGGGGTTCTAAACCTGCCTCTCCTATATATTGGCTGCGTGACCCTGGGCTAGTAGCTTGAAGTCTCTGAGCATCAGCAAATTTAACTACATATAGAAAGAGGGCTAGTACTTGTATCAGCTCTCAACCATCAGTGATGGTTACAAAAATGTAATGAGCTAATGTAGAACTTAGCCCTGAAGCCCAGTGGTTGGTGAATGTGCAGAACAAGGGCTGTAGCTCAGTGGTAGTGCACTTACCTAGCATGGATGCTGCCCTGGGTTTGATCCCAGCACTGAAAAAGAAAAACCAAAACCCTGCAGGCCAGCATAACTGTTACTCTTCATCTGTGCAGAATGAAGCTAGGGGCTAGACCAGCCAACTTCTACTCTGACCTGGCCTTCTGGGATACGATCGGCCTACTCTAAAGAAGGGACGCTGCCTGGCAGACTAGCTAGGGCCGCGGACTCCTGGGGCAGACCAGGGCACCTGGTCCTTCCTTGGCCCACCCAGATATTCTAATCTCCCCAAAGCTTGGCTCCACCCTCTGGATGCCTCTTCCCACCCCCAGTGGGGTAGGGAAGGCAAGTTGCTGACAGTGTCATATATAAAACCCAGGGCAGGGGCCCAGGCATCAGGCAGAGAGGTGTACGACCAAACTTTCCCAGTGTGCCTCCTGCTCTATGCTGCACGCAGCCATCTACGCCACAGCTGGCCCTTGTCTGGCCAGCATTTACAGTCATGATTGCTTGTGCAACAGGGCCTGGGCTGGGCACTGGGTAGCTGGGGAGACTGCCCTGGGCCAGTGCACTTGTCACAGAAACACAGGTACACTGAGGCAGGGCTAAGGACTGATCTGAGAAACCCAGAGAAAGGCTGTACTACATGAGTGACTCTTCCCATTCCAAAATAGGAAAAGCCTTGGAAGACTGAGGGGAAGCAATTTATTGAGGTGGGGTGTGAAGGCTCCCTTCAAAATTTCCAGCAGAATGGGCCCAGGATTTAGCTCGGTGGTTCTGCCGCCTGCCTTGCAAGCACAAGAACCCAAGTTCGATCCTCGGTACAAAAAATTAATTAATTAATTAATTAATTAAAGGTGAAAATTTTCAGCAGAGCCTGTGAGAAATGCAGACTCCTGGGCCCAGATATGCTAAACTATAAATTATTAACCTCTGGAACTGGGCCCAGGAACCTCCATCTTTTTTTTTCTTTTTTGGTACCGGGAATAACTCAGGACCTTGTGCTTGCCAGGCAAGCACTGGTGCCACTGAGCTAAACCTGGGGCCCAGGAATCTCTACCTTTTTTTTTTTTTTTTTTTTTTGGTACCGGGGATTGAACTCAGGTCCTTGCGCTTGCAAGGCCACCAAACTGCTGAGCTAAATCCCTGGCCCAGGAATCTCTACCTTTAACAAGCACACCTCCACTCCAAGTAATTCTTACAAACTCCAGAGGGTGGAGAACCACTGTACAGACTGAAGCCCATGCTGGGGAGAGATAGGGAAACTGAAGCCCAGAGAGACAGCACAACCCATCCAAGGTCACACAGCAAAATTGCAAAGCCAAGGCAAGAACTTGGCCCTTCTGACTCCCTGTGTATTCTCTCCACTCTACCCCAAGGTGATATCACACAGTTTGCCTCTTTGCTCCCTTTGGTGCCACCCACGATGAGGGTACAGTACAGTACTTAATATTTTTTCCTTTTGGTACCGGGAATCGAACTTGGGTCTTTGCGCTTGCGAGCCAGGCAGCTGAACCACTGAGCTAAATCCCCGGCCCCAGTACTTAATATTTTTGAAAGACCGAACAATCTCACATCTGCTAAAGCTGTTTCTTCAAGAAGTGATGGGGCTTTTTGTGGTTTAAAATAAATGGACTCACTCATTGTCCTCCATAGCCTGCATCTGTCCCACTCCCTCCCAAAATAGCTGCTATTTGCTCTGGGGCCGGAGAAGCAAAAAGTTTCACTCAGAGACAGCAGAATCTTGAGTGTCGGGAAGTCTGTCTTGGGCGTGCAGATCCCAGCTGCGTAGGAGGCAGTCTCAAGCTCACAGCTGACTCCTCTAATTTCTCTGCTTTTACGCAGAACAATTCGAGGTTGTTCTCTGCCCGCTATTTTGATTTGTGAACGATCCTTCCATTCCCAGAGGGGGCTGGGGCACGGGGAGTTGGAGCTGAAACTTCCGGGGCGAGGCCATGTGGGGCGCAGCGGCTCCGCAGCTCAGCGCAGTCTGCCAGCCAGAGCCCCAGACCCCTCTCCTCTCCGGCCTCCCTCTCTCTGGTCCCCACAACCGTGACCTGTCCTGGTTCGACCCCCTTCTCCAGCCTCAAGACAGTCCTTCCACAGTACCACCCCACAGTACCTCTGTTCCCACAAACTGGCCCCGGCCACCTCTGGGGCCCCAGCTCGCCACACCTGCCCCACCCCACCCTAGCTCGAGGCCTCCAGACTTACTGTACCCCTACCTGGCACCATCTCTTATCTACTTCACTTCCTTCAGGATTCTTCAAACGTTCCCTCCTCAGAGATGCCCTCCCCTGCCACCCTAGCTACAGCCCGCCTCTCCCCACCAGGGCTCTCTGGCCCATTCTGGTACTTCACTTTGTGTGTGTGTGGGGGGGGGGTGACAGTGGTACTGGAGATGGAACCCAAAGCCTCACACACGTTAGGCAAGCACTATATCACTGAGCTATATCCTCAGATCTTTTTCTTTTCTTATACTTTGAGACAGGGTCTTGCTAAGTTACCCAGGCTGGCCTTGAGCTTGAGACTCTCCTGCCTCAGCCTCCCAAGCAGCTGGGATTACAGGCCTGTGCCACCATACCTGGCTGCTTCACTTTTCTTTATAGCACAAAGCACCACCTCACACTATCACTGAAACATTCATCTTCTTTTATGTCCATTAGCTCTTTCACCCAAAGAAGCTCTCTGAAGGTAGGTGACTCAGTCTCTTTTGTTCCCTGCCAGTACTAGTGCAAACAGCAGGCTCCTGCAGACATCTGTCATAGAGAGGTCTTATTCCAGGGTTCTTCAGCTCTCACCAGGACTGGGGCAGCAACCTCTCTCCCAGGTTCATTACCCGTGAGAGTCGGGAGCTCACTCCGAAAGGCCGATCTGCTCAGGACACTAGCCTTCTGTGGCTCTCACTGCCATCAGACCAGCACCCCGTCTGCATACCTTTCTTTCCTACAGCACCTTCCCACAGCCCGACCCGTAGTTCCTCGGACATTCTATCCAGCGTACCCTCCCTCCTGACACACAGAGTCAGCCACTGTGACGGTTTGGTGGGGACCCCAGCTACATATATGAAAGCAGATTTTTAGAGAATTTCTTTTCTGCCAGTGTAATGCAGAATGCAAAAAGCCATCAAGTACTAATAAAAACAGTCACCCCTCTGCCCACTTTTCCTCTCTGCTCTGCCCAGCTCCCGGAGGCAACTGTGGTTAATGTTTTTAACTAGTCATCTGGAGTAATTATCTCCATAATTCTAAAGCATGTGTTTAAATGGCTATTTCTTGACGTCCCAATTTCAGGTAGTATTTGCTGAAGTTTGTATGTGGTTAACTAAAGCTATGCACCAGCAGCAGCAGTAAATAATCCCAAAGTCTCAGGGGCTTAGCACATTAAAGGTTTATTTCTCACTCTGGCAGAATCCATTCAGCACGGCCAGGATCTCATATCCCAGGCTGCTACACTTGTGTGGCTCAGTTATCTTAACCCATGGCCTCCATGACCGCCACAGAGGGAGGAGCAGGTCCAGCGGCAGTACGTCACTTCCCCTGAAGCCAAATGGCCTGATGTTGTCATACTGCCCTGTCTGCCTGCATGGGCTGAGAAGTACGGTCCTGTGTGCCCAGCAGCAGGGAGACCCAAATATTAGTGAACACCAGTAACGCCGGTTCCCTAGTGTGCTAGGTTTCGCACCATCCTTCTCTTTCCCTCCATTCTTCTAACACAGTTTTTCCCCCCATAATTTTTAACTAAACTTGTGAGAAAACTATAACTTGCGATTCAGGGTTAGCCAAGCGTTCTGGCTTGTTTGCGGTCCCAGCTACTTAGGAGACTAGGGCAGGAGGATCACCTAAGCCCAGGAGTTAGGCCCCATCTTAAATTTTTTTTAAAAAAAGATGAGATTTACATTTCTCCCTCTTCCTCTCCTCCATCACGGTCTTTTTGTGTGACTCCAGGTTGGTCTCAAACTCACAGCCTCAAGCAATCCTCCTGCCTCAGCCTCCCAAGCACCTAAGACTATAGGTACCACCATGCCCAGCTCTTTCTTTCTCAACCTCTCTCTTCCTTTTCTGGGTTTACAGTCTTATGATTTTGTAGCTATTTCTATTCATGAGCCATGGAGTGTAATAACATTTCCGTTTGCCGTTTTCATTTGCTTATTTCTATGTACATATTGCTAAATCTCTTCAAATGCACCAACAGACCTGTAAAATGCCATTTCCATGCAGTCACATAATCTATCCATTGCTTTTGCTTTCCTAGTCATACACCTCCTAGACCCTTCCTCCTCTTTCCACCTGAGACAGATTGCTATTTAGACTAGCTGTACACTTATCTATGTTAGAGCACCTGCTTCTTGCCTTGAAAGTCTCCCTCTAACTTGGTTTATGCCCTAGACAACCTCTAGTCACTTTCTCAGAAGGGGTACATAGGAAGCAAAATTTTTGCTCCTTTGCATATCTGAAAATATCTTTATTCTATCTTCACTTCAGAGTGTATGGGCTAGTAGGTGGAAATAATTTTCCATCAGAA